TCTCTCTCTCTCTCTCTCTCTCTCTCTCTCTCTCTCTCTCTCTCTCACACACACACACACACACACACACACACACACACACACACACACAATTAAAAATAAGATAAAAATCTTTTTAAAAGTTTCCATGAACCCTACCCACTGGTAAGTCCACCCTAAACCAGTCACTGGGTTACCAAAGGACTATGAACTAAGGCTTAAACCAATGCTAACACCTTCCCTAAGAGCATGGCTGCTTACTCAACATCTGAATAAAATCAGGGCTCTTGTACAAGAGGACATGCAGTCTGCTACTTAGTCAATGCAACAGGGCCCAGAGGAAACAGAATTCACTGTATGTAGTGGCAATGTTACACAACCATCATAGAAAACAAAGTGGGGGGGGGGCAGTGGGGGGGGAGTGTCTGAGCATTGGAGTGCTGGCCTATTATGTGCAAGGCCCTAGACAGGAGGTGAAGGAGGAAGGGGGAAAGGGAGAAAGGGAGGAGCTTAAGGCATATGTTGGTGCATGCCCAAGTCTTAGCTCTTGGAAGGCCTCAAAAGGATCAGACTGCAAAACCAGCTTGGCTTACAATACACAGTAAGATCCTGTCTCAAGAATCACCCCTTCATGGGGCTGGAGAGGTGGCTTAGAGGTTAAGAACACTTGCTTTTGTAGAGGAACTGAGTGCAGTTCCCAGCACCCACATGGTAGCTCACAATTGCCTGCAACTCCAGTTCCAGGGGATCCAGCTTTCTCATGTACCCACATGGTGCATATACATAAACTCAGGCAAACACACAGACATACAAATTAATTTTTCAAAAAACTGCTCCTTTGGCCAGGATAGTGGTGCACGCCTTTAAAATTCCAGCACTATGGAGGCAGAGGGAGGTGGATCGCCGTGAATTCGAAGCCAATACACAACGAGAATCTTCATAGGGAGAAGATTGCTCCTGGTCCACCCAGGGCAGAGAAGCAGCTGGAAAGGCCAGACAGGAAACATCACCTCAGCACCTAGAGGCGGCGGCGGGTGAGGGAGAAGAAGACAGTGAGGGATAAGGTCTTGACTTACTTTTTGGTGAGCCGAGGATCCAGAGGCGGGTGCTGAGCTCCATACACCGGCTGAATGCTAAAAGCAGGGGAGGACATAAGTTAGTGAGGAAGCTAAATGTGCCAGCTGAGAACCTGATGTCACACTGAACTCTCGGACTTGGAAAAGTAGCCTGCTTCCAAAAAAATGACACCCAAGTCCTTCCAAAAGACAGGAGCCTGCCCTTCAAGACCACCCTGAACAACGCTCCTTTTCCCGGGGGAAGTCCCAGTGCCGCAGCGTTCCTGACCAGCAGGCAGTCCTGTCTTTAGGAAAAGCCGCATGGCCTGCCCAGTGAGACGCCTTGGCTGGAAAGTGCCTGCTGTCCACGCCCAACGATCAGTCTAAATTGGTGAGTGGTGGTGCGTCTGCAATCCCAGTATTCTCACGGCGGTGAGAGGGGAGAAGACAAGAGAACCGCCTGGAGGGTCACAGGCCAGCCAGCCAGGGATACACAGCAGGGCAGGACAAGAAGGTGGGAGACAGAGGCACCCCCTGAAAGGTCCTTTGACTGCACATGCTCCACGGCACCCATTCCCCAACACACGGTAACAGTAAATCAAATAAAGGAGGCGGCAGGAGAGACTGCAGGCTGTAGAGCCAGGGAAGGCAGAGCTCCAACTCCTGTGCTATCGGCCAATCCCGACGTGGCCCTGCAATAGTACTGGATTCCTCAGAGGCCACCTTTTCACTGTACAGAGAGGACTCTGAAGACGACCTCAAGAGAAGAATGGGTCATGCTTCCCCAGGCACTTCCGTGGTGTGGCTTTTCCTGGAAGATGGGAAGGAACAGCCCTTCTCCCCGGACAGGACATCAACCACGACCCAAGGGAACCATCCCACCCAAGTCCAAGCGTGAGCTAGCTGCCCGGAGTTACTCACAGAAGCATGGTGGCTCAAGGGCTGTGGCATCACGGAAAGCCACGCTAGCATGGACCCCTCATGAAAGTGCATACCTGCAGAGCTCTGCACAACTCCCAGGCTGCCCAACTGGAGACACTTCCCTTTTCCTGGCCATAGCTTACTGTTTTCGTAAGCGTGGGGAGCGGGGATTGTGAATCCTGCAACTTTCTTACCTTTTGAGAGAGTTTGTAAACTGTGTACCTCCCAGAGTTTTAAGGACCCCCTGGCTCCAGGAGCCGATGTTCTGAAGGGAAAAGCCTACATAGCACCTCTATTAAGATCTGCTTAGACGTTAAAAACCTCTTTTCCATAAACTCCAGTTCTGCTAAAAAGCAATGCCAACAGTACCACAATGTGGCCATCTCCAGGAGAAATGAGAGATGTATAACCTAAAACCAGTACTTTCGCTCCCAAATAGCTATCTTTAAAAATAAAGCTGTTGGCCAGGTGTGGAGGCACACCCCTTTAACTCCAGCAATCAGGAGGCAGAGGCAGGTGGATCTCTGTGACTTTGAGGTCAGCCTGGTCTACATAGAGTTCTAGGCCAGCCAGAGATACACTGAGTGATGCTGTCTCAAAAAAAAAAAAAAAAAAAAAATGTGTATAAGCATGGGTGTTTTGCCTGCATCTCTGTCTGTACACCACTTAGGTGCCTGGTGCCTAAGGCAGCCAGTAAAGGGAACTGGATCCTTTGGAATTTAATTTACAGACAGTTGTAGGGTACCATGTAGGTGCTGGGAACTTCTGCACCATCTCTCCAGACCCGCCTCCCCAAATACCTACCTTAAGAAAAATGCACAGGCATGTGTATCAGGAGGCCTATCTAAAACTCTCCTAAAGCCGTAGTTCTTCTGAATCCCCGAGGAGAAACACCTTAAACGTCCCCCTACACTGACTGTGGAATAAACCATAACATGTTAACAGAACATCATGTACCAGTGACACTAGGAAATAAGCCTGGGAGTAACAATGTGAATCCATCTCTAAGTACCTGAGGGAAAGCTAGGTCTACAGAGTGAACACTGTATCTTTCCCTTCTGGGTGTGGCCCACGCCTTTAATCCCAGCACTTGGGAGGCAGAGGCAGGTGTATCTCTGTGAACTGAAGCCCAGCCTGGTCTACAGAGTGAGTCCCAGGCTAGCCAGGACCACATAGTCTCAAAACACAAAGGAACGGCTAACAGAAAAGGATGTGGCTCTCTACGGAAGGGAGGTGTAGGGGACAAAAAAAAAAACCAGGGGCTTCTGGGAAGTGAACACTTCTGTTCATGTTGGTTATCCATCGGGCCATTACACCACACATCTGTGTTTCATGTACTTTTCTGTGATGTAATATGTCACAATAAAAACGACCTAAATTTTCAAGACGGATCAGATAAAGGCACCTGCTGTCAAGCCCGAGGTCCTGAGTTCAAGCCCAGGACTTGCAGATGGAAAGAGAGAACCAATTTCTGTAAATTGTCCTCTTAGTCCACACATGTATCATGACATGTTCACACCCACACACATACACAATAAATAAATTATAATCAAAAAAGAGTAACAATTACTAGAACACATACAATTTCCAAATGACTAGATTATATACATGTAGGCACAGTCTAGTCCATAATATGAATTTTGTTTTCTTGTTTCTTTTTTTGAGACAGGGTTTCCCTGTGTAGTTCTGGCTGTCCTGGAATTTGCTCTGTAGACCAGGCTGGCCTCGAACTCAGAGATCCACCTGCCTCTATCTCCCAAGTGCTGGGATTAAAGGCATGCGCCACCATTGTCCAATGAAAGATTTTTTTTTTAAAGATTGAAAAGAAAACTCAGACCAAATGTTAGTTAATCTGATAGCTATAAATGACCTGAACTGACTTTAAAAGAAAATAGATCTCTATCAGCAGGAGCTAGTTAAATAAAGCACAATCATCTTACAAGACCAAGACCAGTCTGTCCCACAGACATGAAGTAAATGCCTACTTAACTGCAGAAGACGCCGAGTTATTCAGTGCTCTCTAGAGGAACATGAGTCTACACATAAAGGAAGGGGTTGATTAGAATGGCTACAGGCTGTGGCCCAGCTAGTCCACAACAGCTGTCTACCAACTGGAGGGCCAAGAATCCAGTAGTTCAGTCCACACGGCTGGATGTCTCAGCTGGTCTTGAGCAGACTCTAACGTCAGTGAAGGAATGGACTTGCTCACCAGAGCAAGAACAAGCAGGCCGAGAGAGCAAGCTCCCTTCTTCCACACCCTTTACAGGCTGCCAGCAGCAGGTGTGGACCAGACTGGAGGCAGACCTTCCCGCATTCTCAGCAGAGGAATCTCAAAAGGCTGAGAAACAAAGAAATGTTCAACATCCTTAACCAGAAGGGAAATGCAAATCAAAACTACTTTGAGATTCCATCTTACACCTGTCAGCATGACTAAGACCAATAACACAAGTCACAACTCACGATGGCGAGGATGTGGAGCAAGGGGAAACCCCTCCATTGCTGGTGGAAGTGCAAACTTGTACAGCCACTATGGAAATCACTATGGCGGGCGATTCCTCAGAAAACTAGGTCTCAATCTACCTCAAGACCCAGCTACACCACTCCTGGGCATGTACCAAGAGATACTCTGTCCCACCACAAGGACACTTGCTCAACTAGGTCTCAGCAGCTTTATTTGTAACAGCCAGAAAGTGGAAACAACCTGGATGTCACTCAACTGAAGAATGCATAAAGAAAATGTGGCATATTACACAATGGGGTATTACGCAGCTATTAGGAAAAAATGACATCATGAAATCTGCAGGCAAACGGATGGGACTTGAAAAAAAAATGATCCCAAGAGAGGCAATCCAGACCCAGAAAGGCAGACATGGTCTGTACTCACTTCTAAGTGGACATTAGACATAAAGTAAAGGACAACCATGCTACAGTCCACAGACCCAGAGAGGCAGACATGGTCTGTACTCACTTCTAAGTGGACATTAGACATAAAGTAAAGGACAACCATGCTACAGTCCACAGACCCAGAGAGGCTAAGCAACAACAAGGAGGGATCTAGGGGGCATGCATGGATCTCCCTGGGAAGGAGAAATCGACTTTTCAGATGGACTGGGTGTGGGTGTGTGGTGATATTTTGTTTGCACTTTAACAAATAAAGCTTGCCTGAAGATCAGAGGGCAGAGCTAGCCATTAGTTAACCATAGAGGCCAGGCCATGACGGCACACGCCTTTAATCCCAGCACTAGGGAGGTGGAGACAGGAATATCAGGTGGGTGGAGACAGGAGTTCACTCTTTCAGTCTGAGGATTCCTTGAGGTAAGAAGTCTTCCTAGTGGCTGCTGTTCGGCTTCTCTGATCTTTCAGCTTTCACCTGATATCCGGCTCTGGGTTTTTATTATTCAGACCAATTAGAATGCGAGCTACATGGGTGGTGATGGGAACAGGAAGGATCAGGTGTGGGAGGGACGGATGGAGGGAGGGAGTACAGGGAGAGACAGCTGGAACAGGGGGGGATCTAGGGGGAGATGTGGAAACCGAGTACAGTGGAAACTCCTGGAACCTATGCGGGTGACTACAGGGAAGATTCCTAGTCATGGAGGATATGGAGCCTCAACCAACCATCTTCAGGTACTTGGCAAGGCTCCAGTGGTGGGACCAGGACACCAAACCAGCCATAAAACCTTCAACCCACACCTGTCTGGCCTGCAGTATGTGCTGGGGCAATGGTGGCTCAGAGCTTTGGGGAGCGGCCGACCAATGACCGGTCTAACGTGAGGCCCAAGCCACAGGAGGGAGCCCATGGCTGACACTGCCTGGATGTCCAGGAACCGGAAGGTGGATGGCTTAGGGAACTAGGGTAAAACCAAACACCACTGACAAAAACCAACCAACCAACCAATCAACCAACCAACCAACCAACCAAACCCCAAAACAACAAAAAGTCAACGGCGTGACTCCTGAGGACATTCTGCTACACTCACAGACCTGCCTGGCCCAACTGTCCTCAGAGAGGCTTCCCCCAGCACTGATGGGAGCGGTGGCAGAGAGCCACACCCACACATTAGGCAGAGCTTAGAGATCCCAAGGAAGAGGGGAGGAAGGATTGTAGGAGCCAGAGGGGTTGAGGACACGACCCACAGAGGTGACTAGGCAGGGCT